TATATATATATATTGAAACGAGACAGACTTTCTGTAATTTCCGGATATTTATGCAAATACTATTATTATTTTGCAAATAAATACAAAAAAATTGATACTTCGAATGAAAATAGTTTGCATGGATAAAGATAATTTGCATGTTTCTGAAATTAAAAAAAGGGCCTACGTAACATAGGATTCTTGCATGGATATCCACATTCATACGTACATAATATACATGTAAAAATTGGTGTGTATAAACATGCATGTATTAATCAGCGAGTGAGCAACATGCGCATATATATATATATATATATGCACGAGATCGACAAAGGATCGAATCACGAAGCGAACAGCTCTTAGTTTAATCATGAATTATTGTTATATTAATGTAATGGGTACAAATTGACACTAACAAACAAGAAAATTATAAAAAAAAAGGTTATATATGTCCAGACCCTTTTGTTTCCTTTCTAACAAAAACAGAAATAAAAATAACAACGTACAGATTTCTAAAGATCGGGCAAGTACCTCAAGATCTCACTTAGAATTTGTCGGATATAATTATATAATATTAATTCATAGAGTCAGATCCAGAGTACTTGCCCTTCCAATCCCATGTTCATGTGACGACAATAACCTCTTCGCTGTACCATTGTCATCTTCTTCATCTGTCTTCTTCAACGTCCTACTCTGTTTCCACGAAGACGAACCCGAACCCAATGACAGTGACAACGTTTGATCCCTTTCTGTCTCGTCCAATGATGCTTTTTCATGTCTCGCGAGCTTTAAAGAAAGATCGAGATCGAGATCGATCCTCTCGCTTGCCTTGCGTTTACCCATCTTGTTATAGTAAGCATTATTATCGGTTTCTTGAGCAATATCATGGTGGAGCTCGAGCTTGTTGATCGTTCCTGAACGTTGATCTTGAATGTTCTTGAATGTTCCTGGTGAATCTTGATCAAGAATCTGAGTTCGGTTTTGTCTTAACATGCCTAGATGACTGGAAACTAAAGAAGAACTGATGTTTTGGAACGATCTGTTCATCATGTTGTTGGCCCAGTTGTTAACCACTGAACCGCGGACGAAACCCGGTCTCAATTGGTCTATCAAACTCCGGTCCGGTACATGAGAGCTAGAGTTCCACATTGAAGCATTTCCATATCTGCAAATATAGAAACAATTAATTAATATCACAATGTATAATTACTACACACGTTATAATATGAAAAGAAATCAATAATACAACGTATAATGAAGTTGCATGAGAATATCGCAAAAAAAATGAAAATTTAAAATTTGGTAAATAAATATAAACAAACTTATAAAATTTGTGAAGTCTTGTATACGATCGAGAATAAGACCTAACTTGTTTGTTGATGATGAAAAGAATCTGTAAATATATATATATACATATAATAAGAATATATACATATATATATATATATGTAAGATTAATTCAGAGCGGCTCGATCGATTAATGCTAATTAATATTCAGTTAATGCTATAGAAGATTTACCTGAAAGGAGAATCATGGTCGTGGCTGTAGGCTCGAAACATAGGAAGCTGACTTAGGTTGTAAATATTTCGATCGGTGGTGCTTTCTATGAGATGTCTGTGCTCAGCCATGGCTGCCATTAAATCACCTTCCGTTACGTAATTTACAATATATATATATATATATATGAAAGAGAAAAAGACATCCCTAAACTTTTTTTATATAGTTGGGAGTGATTACAATTAATGAGATTTGAAAAGTTATTGTTCATACCTTGACATTGGTCATCGGTCTTCTTGCTCCTGTACATCTGCGGCCATGGAAAAAATATATTTCAAACACGAAAAATGAAATTTGATTGCGTTTCGCGTTGGCACAACAATTGCAAATGGCGCATATGCCGACAGATTTACGTGCATACATGTATACGTGTATATACACACATACATATATATACACAAGTATATGTGTACATGGAATATACCTGTAGGTGGCTCTTGACATGAGCGATGCTAAGCCCTTTGATGTTCATCAGCTGAAGAACCAGTTTCGGAGTAGCTCCTGCAAATTAAGAAGATCAATTAATTAACATCATCAAGAACATAATTAAGAAAAAAAATTTAATATCGAAACCCTGAATCAAAACAAGAAATACCCATACATACATACATATATACATACAGGAAAAGGGACGTACTTTCTTGGCCGCCAAGTCTGTCAACGGCATGAACGAAGCGGAGATGAAGATCGGGAGTCCATCGGAGTCTTGGAACCTTAGATCTCACGTAAGGTCGCACCTTCGGCTTCTTATCGCTCTCTTCCACTGTGCTATTGCTTGAAGCCTTACTCTCCCCTCCTCCCCCTTCTTCTTCTTCTTCCTCTTCTTCTTCTTCTTCTCCACTTTCATTAATCTCTATTCTTTCATACCGACTCGTCTTCGAATACTCTGCATCTCCACCTCCCTCCATGTTCCGTAGTATTTTTCACATATGTACGTATATATACAAAAGCCCCTTTATGTATTTGTGTGTGTTTTATAGTGCCGCTTGAAATGAATTCTGTGTTGTTTATTGGGAAGAAGAATTTGGAAAGGGAATTGAAACTATGGGATATAGATACAGGTTTCGGAAGGATTGGGTTTTTGCACAATTAACTAGAAGAAGAGATAGAGACAGGATGGATTCTACGTAGTTCTAAGCATGGAGGTTTGGTCTGGTCTGAATGAGAAACCCTAGATCAAGAACACACGAGACTCTCTCTCTCTCTCTCTCTCTCTCTCCGAGGCATGTAGACAAACTCTCACCTAACTCTTGTTGCGGATGTTAAATAGCGGTTCTTTTTTATGTCCAGCTAAGTTATTTTGGCCGTTTTTATTATTTCTTGTATACATCATATATACATATATATATATACACGCACTCGTATGTATATATTCGTACATCAATTCCAAATCATGTGTATGTCGCCGGAAAACTATATACTGACTTTGGGAAAATGCAACAACTAATTATTGCTGTAACAAAATTGATATTAGAAATGGTAAAAATTGCATCAATTTTATTTTTTTTTTTTCTATCTCAACTTTAAAAATTGCTTGTTTGGTCTGAAAACTTCTCATGTTTCCTAAGACATTAAATCGGCATATATATTATTTGCATAAAATTCATCAAAAGATAGCTTTGGATTGCAATAGTTAAGTCTGAATAGAAAAATCGAAACAATTCGTAATTAATTAATTTTTAGAATTAATACCGAATGAATTGGCTATTAATTTTCAGCTATGATGATGTCAGAGAATAATATATATATATATATATATATATAATAGCTAATCAGCCTAATCTTTTCAAGCTCTCGAGGTTTTCAATCACTCTATATCTATATTCAAATAGTTTAGAAGAAACAAACAAGATTCGGAATATAAAATATGTGCGATTCTTTGTTGCAGTTTCCAGAGAAAAATAATTTAATAATAAATCGAATTTACACCCATAAAAAAGGTTTCAAAGCAGTTTTGTCGGAATTAGGGTTTGAACTTCAAGAACTTGGATGCGGACTTTTGTTATTTTCCGAGCTCATTGATCGTTGAAATCATTTGTCTTCTTTCCTATAAAAAATACTGGCTATTATCTCTTTCAAATTACTTTCGATCTCTCCCATATATATATTAATTCATGTTGATTAACATTGACGATTTATTCATCCAATATTCGCTCGCGCGCGCACACACAAATGAAATAAGGAAAATAGAAGGGCAAATGCTGAAATTTATCGGTTTCTAATGAAACGTATAACTCTGAATTTATTAAATAAATAAAATTTGATATAATTAAAAATTACAAGTATGGATTGTTTTTAGAAACATTGGGAGAGCACATTGTATAAGGGTAGTGTTGTAAACCTGTTTATGATTGACTACCTAGGCTAGTGTCATGCTGAGTATGTCTTTATATATAATTCATGCATATAAACACAATATATATATATATATATATATATATATATATTCATACAATTTACAACACTGGCTTTTATACATTCAATCCAGTGACCAATATGCTAAATTCCAAAAAAAAAATATACAAATTCAAACAATATATTTTGCTATAATAAAACTTCGAAACGAAATAAAAGAATGGATGATGGAGAGAAGTGTAACGAGTTTGCATGGAATTAAATGCAAAAGGAGAAAGTTTCGATGGAGGTAAGTGGTAGATATGGATGAACAAGGTTCAGATTATAAGGCGTGTGACTGCTCGGCTGTCGCTGATGCAGACCCTCCCACTGTATGTATGTATGTATGTATGTATGTATGTATGTATGTATGTATGTATGTATGTATGTATGTATGTATGTATGTATGTATGTATGTATGTATGTATGTATGTATGTATGTATGTATGTATGTATGTATGTATGTATGTATGTATGTATGTATGTATGTATGTATGTATGTATGTATGTATGTATGTATGTATGTATGTATGTATGTATGTATGTATGTATGTATGTATGTATGTATGTATGTATGTATGTATGTATGTATGTATGTATGTATGTATGTATGTATGTATGTATGTATGTATGTATGTATGTATGTATGTATGTATGTATGTATGTATGTATGTATGTATGTATGTATGTATGTATGTATGTATGTATGTATGTATGTATGTATGTATGTCACATACTTTAAATTATGTATAAACCGAAAGAAGCTAATTGGTGGTCCCTTGGGTTTCGGAACATCCCAAATCAAAGCCCGTGAAGCATATGGGGATGAAGAAAAAACGTCTAAATTTTTTCAAATTTCAATATATAATGTGTGTGAAAAATCTAACATTATGAAAACATATATATATATGAAGAAAAACACATTGAAGCAATCCGTTGTAGCGTAAGATTTATAGTTGTATACATTTATTAAATACCAACCTGTTTGCAACTTCAAACGCATATTTACAATGAAGTATGAATATCATAAATTCATATTCCATCTCTTTTAGTTTCATATATATATATATTCGTATAAATAGACTTTCACGGGGACCAACAGAGCAACTTTCTTATTATTATTTAAAAAAAAAATAAGGAAAACATATGAACAGATGTATACGTACGTGCGTATACGTACGCGTATATTAGTTCTCGAAAAGTAAAAATAAAAAGAAAAAAGAAAAGAAAAGAATTATTGAGGAAAAGAATGGAGGAAAAATAAGGGGAAGAAAAAGGGGAAGTTTGTCATTCCTCCCACGTGTGAAGGCCTCTCTCTTCTTTCACAGGTTTCCCGTCTCCTCCTCTTCTATCTTTATCTCTTTTCCCTTACTTAATACAATATAATATAATATATGTAAGTTTATATTTATGCATCATGCTGTTTTCTATTTATAATAAGATTTCCTTTCTTGAAGTTTATGTAATCGAATATTGATTGCATGCATTTTAGAAAATATATAAATAGTTAGTTTTATCCCACTTTTGTCGGCTTGATTCTAGAAATATATATGACTCCTTGTAATCTTTCATATATATATATATATATACATATTATCTGTATGTATATATGTAAATGTATTGTGTGTGTTACATACTGGTGTATGTATATAAAACTGCATGGAAATTTGATAAGTGTTTTAGTGATTTTTAAAACTGGAGAAATCGGCAAGAGGGTCCAACATTAGCTTGTGGAAAAAAGGTTAGGTTTGGTCTGACAAGATTCCTGTAACGCCGAGCTGTGAAGTCAACCCCCAACAGTCCTCTTTTTCTTGTTTTTTTTTTAAAATTTATTTATTTTGGTTTTGTTTTTTTGGCCCTATAAATGCGGATCTCACATTATATTCGAGAATGAGAAGCATGTCTGTCGTTATGTGGATTTTTTATTATTTAATTAGTAAACAGCACTTGCATTTCTGATTTTCATGAATTATATATATATATATAGATATGTATGTATATATGCCTGTCTATATAATATCTCACTTAGAAATTCTTTTTCCCCGAGTATTTACATGTGTGTATATATATATATAAATGTGTGTGTGTTCATGGCATGGGTAACATGCATGGGTTATTGGTTAATGAGTCAGATAGATGCATGGCGTTTGTCAAGTTAGAAAATCCATGAAGATGTTTTTTCATGTATGTCACAAAATCATTTGAATAAAGTTCTTAATATTATGCATAGATACATTAAAGTTGTGACATATTCATAATCCTTCATTCTTTGTATGAGCCAAATTTTACATGAAAATTAGATTGTGTCGACAAATGAACACTATACGGTTATAAAAAAAAAAAAGATAAACATAGCATATGCAGCCTGATATCTATAATATTTGATTATTATAAATCAAGCCCACTTGATCATATATAAAAATTTAGAACATCATTATAGTTCCAAGAATTATCACACGAATTACCGTGCAAGTCTTGGAACAAATGACAATGGTTTGTGTGTTTTTCGGAAGAAACTAAAAGAGATAGAATAAAGAAACAATCACAAATTACGCCATAATGACAAAAGGATCTTATTTAAGAGTGGAAAATACAATCGAATTTTCCAAATTGACATGTTGATAGACCTAAATTTAAGATTTCGACCGGTAAATATATATATAGTAATGATTCGAGATATTTATTTATTACTTAAAAATTATAAAAATGCAGTCATAGCTATTATTATGGTATACTATCGTAATTACACGTACGACGGGATTATTATATGACTCGTGTATTCGTATAGCTACCAATATATATTATCAATGATAGTTGGTCAAAGTATAGGAATGATAATTTAAATTTTATTTTTGTTCGATAGCTGAAAATTATATTCTGGCCCTTTTCTAAGTTGGTAACTACCGAACTCCAAATTGGAAAATTTCTATAAATATATGTGCTAAAATATTAACTAGTGACATATACGGAATTGAAGAAATTATTTTATCCATTATATATGATGTGGAATATGAATATAATTCTTTGCCTTACGTGTATGATGTTTACATTTTACCAATCTTTATTCGCCTGCTTGCACTTCCTCTATATCTATTTTTCATCGTGTATACATATATACATATATATATATGTGTGTGTGTGTATATATGCTGTACTTGGGTCAGATTTCATATATATGCCAATCTATTATTACTAGTATTCAATGTATGTTATTTCTCCTATCCAAAAATAGACCGTTTACCTTTACCAAAAAAAAACTTTACAAAAAAGGACCGCTACTTAAATAATTATATATATATATATATATATTTCTTTCTACGTAAATATGTTAAATATATAAATATAGGATTGTTCCATGAAAAATATGAGGTTAGCTTACTGATTCATGAACGAATTCATCACCAAATCCGAATCTTGAAAGAAAATAAGTTATAGAAGAAAAAAAAAAGAACAAGTTGTACAATTTCTCTTTGATTTTTCTTCTAGTTTTATGATCATAATAGCATTAACTAACAAATTAAATTTCTGTTGATATAGTTTTTTTGTGTGGACATTAACGCATAAATAAATTGTTAAATATTGGGCTGATTGAATAAGGCTCGTTTAGAGGTAAGTTTGAACATTTTGGTCCATATAAAAGCCCATTAGCAACGAATCTATAGCCCATAATTTACCTCTATAAGACCCATGATTAAAAAAAAAATCACAAGATTGTGACATTTTGTAATGGTTGCATTTTAATTTTAATTTTAATTTTAATTTTGGCCAGTAGTCTAGAGAAACTCCAAACCCAATATATATGTATGGGGAAATCTTGTATTTTCAGCATTGGTATATATAGTCATCAAGAGATAAATCATTAAATTTACATTTCTTTCTGTTTCTTTGGTTCGTTCCAACAACTTGTTTACGTCGAGACATTTGTTATCGTTATAAATAATATGAACGCAGAACATGGGATCATTCGCATGAAATAAAAGCGCCAAAACAAATATATAAAATGCCGGGGTAGGTCCATTTATTATTGCACTGCATACATATAATATAATGAAGCAAAGTCCACGGTCCATTATTAATTATTTTTTAAATTAATTATTGTCGATGAAATCCCACTCTAGTTTTTACACAGCTTTCCCGACAAAGCAGGCTTGACGAGTCGAGGAGAGCTGCTTCGGCTTCGGCTGGATCGAAGAGGAACTGCAGATCTTCGGCAACGGAATTTCTGTCCCTTTGTACGCTTTGCAGACTTGGCTCACAAAATTCTCCATGTCCTGATGATTATTACATTTCAAAATTAAATATATAAAAAATAATATATATAAAATATATATATATATGTGAAACGATGGACGTAAAACAAAAGCAGGAGCAAAAACACATACATAGTAGAGGGGGGTGTTGTTGACGGTAACCCAAGGCACGTACTCATGAGGAGGCTTAAGACTGTTCGTCTCGTTCGCGTATCCAAGTATAAGCTGCTCATTTACGTATTTTAAAATTATAATAACCCTAATTCTACGTATATTCATATATATATATATATATATGTATGTATATACTATTAACCTGTGAGGAGAGTCCACTGTCGTGGCAATCCTGTATTTGTTGAGAGCCTCCAAATTTGTCAGCACAAGCTTTCCAGGCAGCCGTAGGGTCGTCTCCGACTTTCGGTGAACTCTCCACGCATCTTATGAAGCTGAAATGCTCTTTCTGCGTTCCAAAATTATCCGTATAAATGTTGTATCTCATATTGTTTGATTTCCGACTATTTCTGTATTTTGGTTTATAAGCGTCTTCTGATTATTTTTGCAATAAAAAAAAGGTTATATATATGAAGAGTTAACATATATATATATATAGTTTTATACCTGGTCGGGCCAAATGTGAATGGCACAAGCTTCTATGGCGTTCAAATAGCATTCATCCTCGCCATGCTGCCGAATATTCGTCCAACATTTTTTAAAAAAATAATTGAAGCAAAATACATTAATTAGAACTATATGTATACTAATTAAAGAGATTTTACACGAATGAATCGTTAATTAAACCCACAAAACATTACACGTCCAAGAACTTGTACGTACTATAAGGGTACGAAAATAATATGACTTTGTTACGGTTTTCAAAATGTTTTTAAAAAAAAACAATAGAACAAGGCAAAATAACCCTAAATTCAAAACCTAACCTGGCAAACGACGTTGGAGCTGACGATTTTGGCGTTGCCAAAGGGGACGAGCCTGAGGTTGGTAATGGTGTAGAGATCGGTGGAGAAGACCTTCACGAGACTTTCCGCGATGAAAGACTGGCAGTACGGACAAAGCGATTCGTAGTACAGATTCAGATTCACTTTGTCGTCTTCTGATGAGGCTAGTACGAGGTTGTCTGAAAACGTGAAGAAGATAAGAGAAGCCAACAGGAGTAGCTGAGAGGAGGGCAGTGATGAAGCCATATTGCTAGTGTTGTTTTGAAATTGAATGTTTCAGTGAGCCTTTGATGCATTTCTTTGAAACTCTCTTGTCTATATATAGAGAGAGTTAGAGAGAGAGAGAGAGAGAGAGAGAGAGAGAGAGAGAGACGTTGTTGTTACTGAGACTCAATTTACATCTGAGAGATCCATTTTTAGCATTTAAAAAAAAATCCAATTTGCAAAAGTTTTTTATATATAATATATTTCATGTGATCATGTCGATTTCGGATTTCCAATTTTCAAAAGCTATGTAAAACAATTGATTAATTCAAGCGTAATATAAGGTTATTTATAAATCTATTGTGTTGCTTGAAATTGTATTCATCATATGTAATTTGGAATTTAGACCAGTTGGCTGTTTGTAACTACTAGTTTATTTAAAGCGTCATGTGAAAATAGTTTTGTAAATTTAGTCCGTCAAAATTTAAAAAATAATCAGAAGATTAATATAATAAATCTACGATGTTATAGAAGTTTATTTCAAATATTGCTAATGCAATGAAAAAAGATGTTGCTTTCGTACTATCGATACAAGTCTATAAAATTGACATTAATTGTTATCAATTCTTAAAAAATTATTTCGAATAGTTAAAATTAGTTTTACTGTTATAAATATATATATATACAAGTGAAAATGCATGGAAATTTTTTAAAAAAAATCACAGTCTAGTGAGAAGCGAAACAATATATATGTCATTATCGCCCACGTGGACAATTGGTGCATCTTCCATATCCCACTGTGAGCTAAAATTTCATCAATTATTTCAAACATTAAGATTATACGACTTTAAAGTGGATGTTCACATCAACCCCAAATAGAGGTAAATTATTATTTTCTTTAATTAAATGTGAACAAATTCACTTATGGTGCTTACTATTGTTCATGACAATGACATATCAAAGGGCTAAACGCCACATGCAAGACCATCAATTTACCATATTTAACAATAACTTTTGTTTGGAATTTAATTAGATGCGACTTCTCCGTTTTTGTATATAAAAATTGAAATAGAGCGAATACAGCTAATATATTTAAATCGAATCTCATTTAAAAATAAAATGGAATATAAATCTAATTAAATAACTATCATCCTATAGTATTACTATGAACATTGTAAATGATGTGCCCTTAGTTAATTTTATAAATATAGTCTTAATCTTCATTGTTCTAAAGAACTTGAATGTTCTTCAGATATGATAATAAAAGTTTGGAAAATCCATGCGTTACTGTCTGTATATACTTATTCTTAATTGGGAAAGGAAAATTCTAATAGGGAACTCGTTGGTAATTAAGTATGTTAAATTTCAAATAATATTGCAATTTTAATGAAATTCACAATGGAGTTTCGGTCAGTCCAGCATCTCTCTCTATATATATATACATAATTGCTTTTATATTTATATATATATATAAGGGGGGGGACTAAAGTTGCTGAAGTGGGCTGAATTCAGAGGACTGATACTCTATTGGGCCTCCGCAGAATGTTTGGGCCGAAAGAATTGAGAGCCCAGTCCATTAGGACGGACTTGTTCATAAATATATTAAAAATATATTTTCAGTCTTTGCCTTCTAAGGTTTATTTCATTTTTAAACCGAAAATTTATTGCGTTATTAGTAATTAATAGTAAATATTTTTTCACATAATGTTTTCGTACTGCGCATTATGCATTCTTAATAAAATCTAAAAAAAAAGTAAATTTGCGACAAAAAAAAGGAAGAGGAAAACGAAGTGAAGCCCAACAAGGGCCCATAAGAGACGTCTGTGATGCTTGATTGATGACACGTGTCACACTACTGATGGTCATGAGATGCGTGTACAGGCCACGTGGCGTTGCGTGTCCCAAGGTGCCATTGAACGTGGACGACTCTCCTCTCTATTAATTTTTTTTTTTTTTTTTTGCATGATTCTTTTATGTGTGTAATGTTTTTAAGATTTATGCAGATGCTAATATAAGAATATCCCGAAACCCCTGGTAAAGCTACCGAGAAAAGGGGAAATAAGATGGAAGACGACGGCGAATATTGTCGGAGAGAAATCACAGAAGACGAAGAAGAAACACACAAGAGCAAGAGAGCGAGAGAAACATCTACGGAAGAAGAAGAGAAGGACAACGTTGGCGTTGTCGGGGTCATTGATCTGATATCGAGCTTTGTCGGTCCACCAAAAGCCGAATGCGACGCCGCCGCCGCCGGCGGTGGAGAAGTCGCCGGTGACGTGAAAGAGCCTCCGGAAGCGGAGAGCGGCGGCGGAAAAGGAGGAGGTGGGATCATTAGCAACGTCATTTCCGGAGTGATACAAGCGGGAGCTGGTGAGAACGATGATGGGGAAGTTGCGGAAGACGAAGAAGAAGAAGAAGAAGAAGAGGAGGAGGAAAACAAAGAAGGTAAGGGCGGAGAGAGAGGAGGTGGGATCTTTGACAAGATCGCTTCTCACTTGCAAGGTACAATACTGACTCCTAAATCTTCAATATTTGTTAAAAACATTTTATATATTACCAATTCTGATATCTGATAAAAGGCATATACAGCGTGTGTGTGTATATATATGTGTATGTATGGGTATATAAGATATGTGTGTATGTGTGTGAGGTGTAATGTGGAGTTTGGTCGTAAAATAAAAGCAGGAGATGCGGTTCCGACAGCAGACGAGGCTTCCATTCTGATTCACTCCGTTATTGACTGATTCTATACGTTAATAAGCTCTTCACTTTGCCCCCCTCTCTCTCTCTCTTCATATTGTAACCTCTGTTTCTTTTTTTTGTTATTTTTGTAAGCACGCTCTCGATGTACACAAGTGATCGCATTGCGAAAACTTTTAATTTTATTATATGATTTTAATTTATTATTGTTTTTTGTTTCCTAATGAAGGAACTTGACTCTTTTTTTTGGTAAATAAAAACAAAAACACAGACATATATCAGAAAATTCATATCCCTGATTATTTGCTCCCATTGCACATATCCACTAAATAATGGTCTCATCACTTGTAATGTCTACCTTACTATACAAAAAAAAAAAAAATACTGAAGTGGGGGAATCCCCAGCTCTATTGAGCTCTTGGTTTCTTGGTTGAGGTGCGAAATCGCGAAATCGTGAGTTCAACACCCAGAGTATGGAGATTATTCTTTCGCCTACCGGTTTCGGCCGATTTATACTCACGTATGTGTTGCAGGCTCGCATGCGTGGGCCGAGATTAGTCTGAACTCTTGAGTCTGGAAAATCCGATTTAACAAAAAAAAAAAAAATTACTGAAGTGGAGCTAGTGCCTAGGGTACCTTCGTGGGTGCTTGTGCAAAGATAGAACGCCAAGAGCCCAAATTTCGTCACCCGTTAAGGCCCAATTTAAAAGTTATTTTTATATTTAGGCCCAATTTAATAAAGATTCAGGCCCAAATTACAACCTCCCCCTTAAAACTGACCTAATCTATTCGCACGTCGTTATATAAAAGGTGGACTAGGGTTTTGATCGTCTCTCTCTCATCCCCTATTTCGAGTGAACTGCATCGGCCCGCTTAGCCGCAAAGGAATCCGAAGGCGTTCGTTGCTGCGCCTGCAACCATGGTCCGTCGTCTTCTCTCTTCTCTCCTGATTGCACTCTCGCACTCTTTTCCTTTCATGAATCGTTGGTCTCAATACATATTCGATCTTTAGAAACGGAATTGGACGATTGTCTCTCTCTTCGGGTTCATTGGCTGTTTCGCACTTTGGAATTGTTGTTTCTTCAAGTTATTGACTTTCTTAGGTTAGGAGCAACTGATTTGACGCTCTTGATATCGGAGATCTGGCGATATGTAGTATACGATTTTTGATGTTTGTGAGTGATGCAATTGGTTGCATTCTGTATCTTCATATCTCAGGAATATTGTGCACTAATGGGTATTTAGTTTATGTAAAATAGAACGATGGTTACTCTTGGTTACAAGACGATGGCTTAGTTACTGGGTTTAACGTGTCCTAAAGCAATATGAGGTTTCTGTCCACTGTTCTGACATTATCTTTCCATGGTTTCTGCAGGCTAGGGGATTGAAGAAACACTTGAAGAGGCTTAATGCCCCAAAGCACTGGATGCTTGACAAGCTTGGCGGTGCTTTTGTATGTTATCTCATTAAACTTTTGAAGATGGAACTGCATTGGTTTAAATCATATTAGAATGATATAATATCTTGATTCTGTTTTGTGCAGGCCCCCAAGCCGTCTTCTGGGCCACACAAGTCTAGGGAGTGCCTTCCCCTTATCCTTATCATCCGTAACAGGTTGAAGTATGCTCTGACATATCGTGAGGTGATTGCCATCTTGATGCAAAGGCATGTCCTTGTTGATGGGAAAGTTAGGACTGACAAGACTTACCCAGCTGGTTTCATGGGTAAGCTTTGCTTTAGTTGGATTTTTTGGGTTGACTCTCTGGTAATGTTGCAATTAACTAAAGGTTTATGCATTTTGATTCACAGATGTTGTGTCTATCCCGAAAACGAATGAGAACTTTCGTCTTCTGTATGACACCAAGGGGCGTTTCCGTCTCCATTCCATCAGGGATGAGGAGGCAAAGGTATGGTTCCCATCTGAATATCTTGAATGGTGAAAGAGATGCTGTTGAAACTGAACTATATTCATATCAAATGCTATTGAACTTGGTCAAGAGCTTTTGTAGTTGTACACTGATGGCTGGTTCAAACAAATCATTTTTCTCTTGTGTTCCGACCTACCTTGTGAACTTTGTTCTGCAGTTCAAGCTCTGCAGGGTCCGCTCTGTTCAGTTTGGTCAGAAGGGCATCCCTTACCTGAACACATACGACGGGCGTACCATCCGTTATCCCGACCCGCTCATCAAAGCCAATGACACCATCAAGCTCGACCTCGAGACCAACAAGATCGTCGACTTCATCAAATTTGATGTGGGCAACGTCGTGATGGTCACCGGGGGGAGAAACAGAGGCAGGGTTGGTGTGATCAAGAACAGGGAGAAGCATAAGGGAAGCTTCGACACAATCCACATCCAAGATGCTACAGGCCATGAGTTTGCCACCAGGATGGGCAATGTGTTCACCATTGGCAAAGGAACAAAGCCTTGGGTGTCTCTCCCTAAGGGCAAAGGTATCAAGTTAAGCATCATTGAGGAAGCCAGGAAGAGGCTTGCTGCCCAACAAGCTGCTTGATTCACTTTGGTTTTTTCATTTAAAAGTTTTTTTGTTCCTCCTAGAATGAATTTGCTTATCTCCTATTTGATTTTGGGATCATGGGCTCAATTTTGAACTTCCTGTTATTCGGTTTATTTGGTTAAAACTTTGGGTTTCTGCCAATCAACCTCCAAAATTATCAGTACTTGTTAGATTGCTAGTAAACGTGATATGATGACTGAATTGGACCATGTTAAGAGACTCCAATGTGAAGAGAAGCTTATGATTTTATACTGTCCAAAAATGCCTGATGTACAAAATTTTAATTGTATTCAATTATTTTTATTGATTTCCGTACCTATATTAATTACTCTATTATTCAATACCAACAAATATGGTTTAATTGTTTGTATGGAAACCTAATCGAAATGGTATTAAGAGGACCCCGAGAACAGAACTTCCATATTTTCTGTACTATTAAGTGAACTGTTGAATAAAATCATATTTATTTCCCTTGTTTATACGCTGATACATTAGACCACCAACAATAAAATTAAATCCTTGGTTTTATAGGAAGAAATTTTGGGGGTATTGACCTGCGAAAATGGAAAAGTGTCAAATATTTTCAAGTTAGAACCAAAAAGAGAGACAAAGGTATAAACCAATTAAGAAAAATAATAATAATAATAATAATAATAATAATAATAATGTGTATTTTATGGCCTATTAACATTTCTCAATATTATTCTTCGAACATATATAATTTGGAGTTGATAGAATAACAGTTTGGACAAATAAATTGAACCCAACACTCAGAGTGAAGAGAGAGAGAGAGATCAATGGAGAGAACGATGACGAAGAGGCCAAAGGAACGTTTCTTGCGGCTGAAGAAAATAGTTTTGTGGTTAATAAGGAGAATAAAATCCAAGAAGCGTCCAAGACTCACTTCTGATTCCAGAGGTAAAATTTCATATTCAGACAATATATATATATATA